AAGAAGCGCCTCCCCATATAGTGCTATGAGCATCGGGTGCAACGATAACATTGGACAACTTTGCAGCCACAGCTTTTACCTCTAGAAAGAAGTTGTTTTACAGGGAACGTTCCACACGTCCTACAGTATGCGAATGAAATTCGCTAGGAGTCAGTAAATCCCTTTATGTATAAACCATACCTGTAAGCATGTACAACTGACGCTGGTCAACATGGATGTAGTAATAATGATATGGCGAATACAAAACCTTCAATAGGCGTTTCACCTTAAATACAATAAGTTCATCAGAAACCACTTTCAAGAAGCAGCAACCCTGACATACCAGCAAAATCAACAAACCTGACGTTCATTCCTTCCATTGAGTTGTAGAAGAAAGAGTATTCGAGGTCTTCTTGATTTTTCATCAACCTCATTCGTCTCCATATACTTGGCTTTAGGCATGAGATGTGGTTCTGAAAACGATAAGTACTTCAAAGTTCAAGACACAACATTTGATTACTCTGTTACCTTTCAGTCCGGTGCGAAACACTTCTACAGCATTGAAGCCACCACAGAACTGGGAGGAGTTCCCCGAACAACGATATTCTGTACATTTGGAATCATCCAAAGTCGGTTTCGACAATGTATCCCCACAGAAACATTCGCGTCCGAATTCCAAGCCTGATTTATAGTTCAAATTATAAAGTTTATCTTATTTCAGCAATTTTTTACTTCTTGAATTGAGCTGAAATTAGATAAATGAAAACTAACAGCCCTACCGTAATATATGAAACCCGCTCGATAACAATGTGATCGGCATTTTTCCATAGAATTATCCGATTTGAAATCATATGCAAACCCGGTAAGTGCTCGATCTTTTTTGCTGTCCTCAAAACACCCCACACGGAAATTTATGAGTAGATGTTCTATAACAGTCTAATTATTACCAATGATACTATACCTTTCAAGCAAAAGTGAGAGTGACTAACCATGGTTCACACATTGACTTTCAGGAAATTGATCGTGAAAGAGGCCATTCTTCAGTTTGCAGGCGGCATCGCTGATCTAAAAAGAGAGTAAGCCACTGAGTTGTAAACAGGTCCAAGCAAAGTTTGCGACGATCACAAGAGATCCAGATGTAAAAAAAGGACAAAACACGCAAACCCTACACCCTCTCTCTTACCGCATGATTTGGACGCCAAAAGCGATTTGGCATTGTTGGAGAGGAGCGGGCTGTCACAAGCATGCCTATCTTCAATGTAAGGGTACAAATCATGCGAGTACCAAAAAAACTATAATTTCCCACCACATTGGCAGTAATTTGTTTTTTTCTTTATATCCAGATAAATCAAACCTATTTGGCACTTTCACAATTTTCAACAAATTTTTGAATAAAAAAAACTCCAATAAAATTCAGTCAATGTAATAGAATTCAAAAATGGAAATTTGCCATTAAAAATGAGCACCCATTATTCATTAACTTCACTTTTTTTAATCACTTTTGCAAAAATTCACGATAGTACATAGTTTCCTGGCAAAATTAATACACGTAATGCAGAACAATTATCT